GCTGAATGGGACAAGCTAAGACAGGAGGCCGTCGAGGAAGCCATCACCGAGTACAAGGCGTCTGAGGAGATGCAGCTGCACATGGATGAGTACGCTTAGGCTTCCTTTGCGGCTGGGTTCAACCTTTTCTGGCAAAGGATCCTTTGTCGTCCCCCGGAGTTGGCCAAGGAGTCGCAGGGCTGGGATGCTTTTGACCAAAATTCTCCGCAAGGGTCCGCCGAGGGAGATGAGTATGAGGCCGAAGCCGCTATTGACGTTGTTGATTCTGCCGCCAAGGACTAATCGGTGGCTTCATATGTACATTATTCCTATTGTTTTGGTGTTGTGCTGCTTCTTTTTTTTTGTTGGCTCGGTATGTCGGGCTTTAAACAATTGTAATAGACCGTCTTTAAGTTGAATATAAGCTCCTCTTCATGTTGACTACATATATGCCTCTTGTTGTTGTTGTTGTTGTACTTGTGCATGTGTTTTTTTTTTAAATGTAGTATGCCCAACCGGGCTATTATGCGTGTCGAGCCGAGCTATGCCGCGGCCTCTTGTTACTTGTACCATTTTTCTATCGTTGGCCAGGGTGAGGCCGGCTGGTCTACTGTGTAGGCTGAGTCGGGCTGTGCCTCAGACGTCCTCTTCGTACTTCGCGCTTCTAGTTCGTTAGCTGAGGTATAGTCGACTGAGGTATGGCTGACCGAGGAGTAGCCGGTCGGGCTATGCCTTGGTGTCCCCAGTCTTGTGCTAACCGATGTTGTCGTTTATCGTGGTGTAGCTGGCCTGGCCATGCCTTGGCGTCCCCAATCTTGTGCTAACCGAGGTTGCCGTTGGCAGAGGTACAGCCAGCCGGGCTATGCCTTGGTGCCCCCAGTCCTGTGCTGGCCGAGGTGTCGTTAGTCGAGGTGTAGCTCGATCGGGATATGCCTCAGTGTCGTTGCCTAGTGCTGATCGAGGTGTCGTTAGCCGAGGTGCAGCTCGGTTGGGCCATGCCTCGGCGTCGTTGTCCTATGTTGATCGAGGTGTGGTTTAGCCAAGGTGCAGCCCAGCCGGGTTATGCCTCGGTGTCATTGTCCGAGATCTTTTGGTTTCTGAGCTCTCAGCTATGGGACGCTCAATTTCTGGTCTTGGGAGCCTTTGGGGCCCTTCTAGGGCTAGTTGTTTCTCAGCTAGCTCAGCCATTAAGTCGGCAGTAGTGCGAAGTTCCTCGACCGCCCTCAAGCCTTGGTGGGCGGGGGCGTTCTTCCTCCACGTTTAGGCTCAGCCATTGGTAGCTGAGTCAGGTAGCTTGCTTGGTAATGTGTTGTCGAGCTAGGAGTAATAGGCTCAGCCATTTTGGGGATTGGCGGAGTCAATTCGGCTGGTAGTGTGACTTAGCATGTGTGTGTAGTGTGCGTGGTTAGTTGTGGGCGCGCCTTTGAATTGAAGAAATAACGTAAAAGAAGACTTTCATTGCTTATGGGTCTACTGGTAATACATCCTGAGGTTTCTCGAGTTCCAACTCCTCGGAATTGGTCGACCTTCGAGGTTTTCAAGTCTATAAGTGCTTGGTTCGAGGACTCTGGTGACCATATACAGTCCTTCCCAGTTCAGTTCGAGCTTCCCTTCTCCTAGCTAGTACATCCTGAGTTTCCCGAGTTATAGGTCTACTCCTGAGGTTTCCCGAGTTACGTGGGTACAATGACTTTGCGCAGAACAAAGTCACCTATCTTGAATTCACGTCTTCTTACCTTAGAATCGTAATGATGTGCCATCTTCTGCTGTTGTGCAACCATCTTTACATGTGCTCGGTCCCGAGCTTCTTCTACTAGGTCCAACTCTGCGCGTAGATCTTCGTCATTCTGTCCCTCGTCAAAGAGCTCGGTCCAAAGAGTCGGGATACTATCTCCACGACAATGATGGCTTCGGCCCCGTAGGCCAGGTTGAAAGGGGTCTCTTCAGAGGCAGTCCGCGGGGTCGTCCTATAAGCCTAAAGAATGCTTGGCAGCTCTTCAACCCATCTTCCCTTGGCCTGATCCAGGTGTGTTTTCAGGCCATGTAGTAGGATGTGGTTGGTTACCTCGATCTATCCGTTGCTCTGAGGTCGGTGTACCACGGTAGTCGGGTGATCGATCCTTAGGTCGGCACATAAGGCCTTGAACTTCTTGTCGGTGAATTGGGTTCTGTTGTTTGTGATGAGCACGCGCGGGAGGCCGAAGCGGCAGATGATTCCCTGCCAAAGGAAGTTCCGGGCATTGTGGGCGGTGATGCGTGCGAAGGCTTTGGCTTCTACCCACTTCGTGAAGTAGTCCACTGCTATGAGGAGGAACTTCTTCTACGCAACCACAGTGCGAAAGGGGTCGAGGATGTCCACTCCCCATTGGGAAAACAGCTATGGGCTGACGATCGATCTCAAAGGGGCCGCAGGCTGGTGATGTATATTAGAGTGACATTTGCAACTATTGCACCTCTGGACTAGCTGGGCAGCATCCTACTTCATCGTTGGCCAGAAATACCCCTGTCGGAGCACCTTATGGGCCAGTGTGCGTGTGCCAAGGTGATCCCTGCAAATGCCTTCATGTATTTCCCTTAGAGCGTAGTCTGCCTCGGCTGGGGAGAGGCACCTCAAGTAGGGAAGCGTGTGGGAACGGTAGTAGAGTTGACCCTGTATCAGACAATACCCGGTTGCTCTGTGTTGGAGTCTTCTTGCTTCAACCCAATCTTCCGGGGAGGTGCCCTCTCGAAGATACTCGATTATGGGGTCCATCCAAGATGAGCCATGTTGCACTAGAAGGATGAGGACGGCTAATGGCGCGACGCTCGGGTGGGCCAGCGTGTCTAGCCGGACAGTTAAGTCAAGGTCAGACTGCGGCGAGCTAGCGAGCTTTGAAAGGGCATTGGCTCAAGCGTTCTCAGCCCGAGGGATCTGTTGGATGTCGAAGTGCTCAAGCCGCTGAATGAGCTCCTACACCTTTTGTAGGTAGCTCGCCATAGAGGGAGTTCGAGCTCCGAACTGGCCGTGGATTTGGTTGACCACGAGCTGAGAGTCGCTGAAGGCCTCGACCCGTCGTGCCCCGAGGTCTAAAGCAAGGCGGAGCCCAGAAATCAGGGCCTAATACTTGGATTCATTGTTAGATGCCTTGAATTCGAATATGAGGGTGTGTTCCAATACTACGTTGGCTGGGCCGAGGAGGACAAGGTCGGCACCACAACCCTGCTTGTTCGATGAGCCATCAACGTGGAGGGTCCATGCTGGGGGCAGTGGATCCGGCTCCTCCACGATAAACGTACATTCCGCGATGAAATCTACCAAGGCCTGGGCTTTGATCGTCGGCTGGGGTGCGTACGTGATGTCAAATTCACTCAGTTCCGCACTCCATTTGACCAGGCGACCCAAAACTTCTGGTCTTTGTAGCACCTACTTGAGGCGCTGGCTAGTAAGTACTCGGACGCCGTGGGCCTAGAAGTAGGGTCTGAGTTTCCTGGCCACAGTGACGAGAACTTTTCAAGATTAGAGTATCGGGTTTCTATGTCGTTGAGGACCTTACTGGTGTAATAGATCAACTTCTGTACTCGGTCTTCTTCTTTAACTAACACCGAGTTGACGACCTCATCCCCAGCCGAAAGGTAGAGCAATAGATCGTCTCCCGGGCTCGGCTTAGTCAGGAGGGGTGACGAGCTCAAATACTACTTTAGTTCCTAGAAAGACTGCTCACATTTCTCTATCCACTAGAAGTTCTTTAGCCATTTAAGCGCTTTGAAAAAGGGGAGGCACCAATCCGCGGATTTGGACATAAACCTGTCGAGGGAAACTATTCTCCCGATGAGTCGTTGCACTTCTTTGTGGGTCCGGGGGGATGGCATGTCAATGATGGATTTTATCTTCTCTGGATTTGCTTCGATTCCTCTCTATGTTACCATCAATCCCAGAAACTTGTCGGAGCCAACCCCGAAGACGCACTTGGTCGGGTTCAACTTCATTTTGTACTTTCTAAGTGTGTCGAAGACTTTGCGGAGGTCGGCTAGGTGGTGCTCGGCCTTTTTGCTTTTTACGAGCATATCATCAACATACGCCTCCACATTCCTACCGAGCTACTCTCTGAATACCTCGTTCACCAGCCGCTGATAGGTAGCGCCAGCGTTTTTAAGGCCAAAGGGCATCACCTTATAGCAGTACAAGCCTTGGTCAGTGATAAAGGTTGTTCGCTCTTAGTCATTCAGGTCCATCCGGATCTGGTTGTAGCCTGAGAAGGCATCCATGAAGCTTACCAGCTCATGTCCTGTTGTTGCATCGACGAGCTGGTCGATCCGAGGAAGGGGAAAGTTGTCTTTGGGACAAGCCTTATTTAGGTCGGTGAAGTCGATGCAGATCCTTCACTTTCCGTTGGCCTTCTTCACCATCACTACGTTGGCCAGTCAATCAGGGTATTTGACTTCCCTAATGAAGCCAACGTCGAGCAACTTCTGTACTTCCTCAGCGATCACTTGCCACCGCTCTGGGGCGAAGTTTCTCTAATTCTGTTTCATAGGTTGGTAATGTGGGTCAACGTTCAGCAGATGTGCGATAACTTAGAGATCGATTCCAAGCATGTCCTCTGCCGACCAAGCGAACACATCGGCATGGTTCCTCAGTAATCAAACAAGTTCCTCTCGGAGGTGGTCGCCTAGCAAGGAACCAACTTGGACCGTCTTTTCGGGGTCTTCCTCAACCAAGGGGACCTAGACGAGGTCTTCCATGGGTTGGTCACGTTGTGCCTTTACCTCGTCGCGTAGGTCATATGCTTCTGCCATCAATGTCTCGGTCACTGGACATGGTCCTCGGCAGAATAACTGATAGCAATGTCGCACTATTTTTTGATCCCCGCACACCACCCCTATGCCATACTTGGTTGAAAATTTCATGGCAAGGTGGTATGTTGAGATTACTGCATGTAGGGCGTTGAGGGTCGGCCTGCCAAGGATCACGTTGTAAGAGAAGGGGAAGCGTACCACGATGAAATCTACCATGGCCGTCGCAGTTACGTCGTTGTCCCAAATCAAGAGGGAAGAGTTATCCTCCCAGTGGATTGGAGGGACTCTCCCGGAAATCCCATCAAGGGAGTGCTAACTGGTGCAAGCCGATCTCTAGCAATGCCGAGCTTTTCGAACGCATCTTCAAACCACATGTCAGCGGAACTCCCTGTGTCAATTAGGATCTGCCGTAGCTCAAAATTGGCCACTTCGGCGGTGATGGCCAAGGCATCGTCGTGCGATGTCTGGATTCCTCGGAGGTCATCATCAATGAAGGTAATAAACGTGCTGCACCTCCTCCCATGACCTCGGTCGTCGATCTCGCACAGTCGAGCATATCTCTTCCGTCCCGAGCTGCTTTCCCCTCTGGAGGCATTTCTGCTCGATATCAAATGGATAACGCCGGCTGGGGGGCCACGGGGCGGAGGCTGTCGAGCTCCGTCTGCTCTTCTTTCCTCTTGGGCTGACTTCTCTGTTCTGTCTATGAAGCCGCTGAGATAACCGCGCCTAATTAGATCTTCGATATAGTTTTGCAAGTCGAAACAGTTCTCCGTATCGTGGTCGTGGTCCTTGTGGAACTCGCAATATTTGCCTCGATTCCTCTTGTTGCTTTGCGTCGTCATCTTCTCAGGCCACCTGACATAGTTGCGGATTTGCATTAGGACTTCAGACTACAGAACATTAAGCGGCGTGAAATTCCGATAGGTCAACGGAGGGGTGTGAGGCCTATGGTCGGTCCGAAGATCTTGCCTCTTGGGATCTCTGTCTACTTTCTCCGACTTGCGCTCGTCGTTCTCTCTCCTTTTTCTGTCGGGCTTCTCATCCTTGTCTTTGAGCTGCGCCTGGGCCTCTTCAGCGTTGATATACTTCTGCGCGTGGCTCATTAGCGCGACCAACGTTTGAGGAGGACTCTTGGAGATGGAGAAGTTGAACGGGGAAGGGAGAGTCCATGTTATATGGCCGTCACCGCGGCTGATTGATTTAAGTCCCTGACTTGAAGCGCCTTCTTTGTTAAATCGTGCCAGGTAGTCCCTAAGGGACTCCGCCTTCCTCTATCGGACTTGCATGAGGTTGGCCAAGGTTTTCCAATGCTTCCGACTTGCTGTGAACTGCACTAGGAACTGGGTCTCCACTTGTGCCCATGACGCTATAGACCTCGGCGGCAAGGAGGAGTACCATGCCAAGGTTAGGCCTTGCAACGTGGTTACAAGGGCTTTGCACATCGGTCCCTCCGATGCACCATATAGCATCATCTGGGCTTGGAGCGCCGCGATATGGTCAAAAGGGTCGGAGTTCTCGTCATACTTGTCGAGTTGGGGGGCTCGCCATCCGGCAAGGGGTACCTCGTCCACGATGTCTTGGACGAAGGGCGGCTCCTTGGTGATATGTGCAGTGGCCTGCACAGGTTGATCCGCGGCGGGGATTGCGCTCTTAGGGGCGGAAGTACGCTCTAACTCTTCCAGATGTTGCCGCAGCTCCTTAATCTCGGCGTCTCTATTGCCCAGGGTTGTAGTGTGTACGGCCTTCCTTTTGGGTCGTGTGGGGTGATCCTTGATTGAACTTGACTCGGCGACGAAAACCACAAAGGGCGTTGTCCTTTTGCTAAGCCTTTCTTTTGCGGGGATGCGCACTGACTGGTGTGTCTGGCTATGGCAGTCCCATCCGCGGGAACGGGTTGTGGCAGTGGGACTTCGGGTCATGTCCTGCCTCATATGCTTAGATTGTTCTCCCCTTACGTCTGTCCCGCGCTTTGGGGCCCTTGGTCCGAGGATCGTCCTTCATGCGCGTCGGGGCGTGAGGGGCAGAACAGTTGAGCAGTGCAGCAGACCCTAGTGTTTGCATGAATTCGAAGATCCTGTCAACCTTTTCCTACATGGCTCGGAACTGCGCTTGATCTACCACGACTGAAGGCTGCGAGACTTCTTAGTGTGGGGAGTGTTGGTTCTCCCGAGTCGGGGAATGGTCAGTTGATCGCTCAGGCTAGTTTTTAGGCATATTGATTGCTTCCTTAATTGTGCGTGGCGATGAATGAGATTTTCGGAAAAGGCTTTTTGTCTCGTTCCCACAAATCGAGGAAGGTGATCAGATAGTCCTTGTTGGTAGGGCGGGGCCGAGCTATAAGGACAAGGCCGCACTTCAAGATCTGTGATCAAGGAAATAGAAGTTAGAAACCCAAGGAGTTATCCCTGGTTAAGAACTTTGATGCTCAAGTCAGTAGATGGCGGAAGGATGGTCGGGCCAAGCTATAAGGATGTCGGTCCGAGCTAGGTAGTTGTGTAGGTCTTAAAAGTTTGATCCCTTACCTTGAGAATGGAGTACATTTTTATAGCCAAATATTCGTGTCCTAGTCGGATTGGGCTTCTGGGGTTGCTAGGATGAGGTTAGCCGTTGAGGTATTCGGGATAGAGTCTCATTCCCTGGTGGAGTCATCTTCCTTATTCCTCTTTATCCGTGATTGTGCTCGTCCACATGACATGTAGTTGATGTGGCTGAAAGGAAAAGATGGGGAGCCACCACAATAGCATAGCTCGATCGGGCTATGCCAACATGGCTAAGCTTACCCAACATGGTCGGGCTACACCGACGTGATTGAGTTAGGAAGATGTGATAGGGCAATAATTGGTTAGCTACGTGTCTCACAGGACGAGGTCAGACATGACCCAATCAGGTATATCCAATATGATCCAACAAGAAATCTGATTGATAAAAATCTGTTGGATGTTTAAGAGCATGATTCGAATTCGAATATCTTATCAGATATCCAATTCGAATCCAATTTGTTTAGAGCTTAATAAAAAATATGATATAATATAAATAATATATTATATTATTTAACATGATATGTAATATATAATTGTATAAATAATACATAAAATATCCACGTGTAATATATAAATAATATTAGTATATAATATTTTATAACTAATGGATCGGGTCTGATCGGGGTGGACCAGATCAGGGTATATCCGAATCCCATCCGTTGACTAAATGGGTTGAGCTTTCCGATCCAATTTATTACAACCAAGGGAGTGATCAGAATCCGATTCTTATAATCGGATCTTATCCAATTTATTTGCAGCCTTAGTTGAAGCCTTCCGAGCACCCGGCAGGCCGGCACAGTGATGGACACGTAATCAATACTTTGGATGGTTGGATTTCTTTTTAATGCTTTAATATATATATATTGGATCCATCGGAAGGTAGAGTTTCAGCACACGTGACCCAAACGCCGATTTGGTCAATCCACAGTTCCACTTCCAAACACGTTCATGGAAAGACCCCAAAAGGGAATATCTATTTCTACATTAAGGTAGAGGGAGCGGAAAAAGTCCACCAATTGTCCTGTTTTCGTTTCAGTCACCCTAATTGGCTGACTTTTTTGTCGGTCCAGGAGAGTTCTCAACTTTGATTGTGGGACCTCCTCACCTCCACCTCCACCTCCACACCGTCTGTCTGTCACCAGCTGTGCTGTCATTCAAACTTCCAAACTCACGCCGGATCCCTATGCTCTCATCCACTCAGGCTCAAACAAAAGAAGCTGAAGACCAAACATGAAACGACAACATAGATTTATACAAGAATAAAAGGATAATCAAATCGTACGTTGGTTTAATCTGAAGTGATCTCTCCTTCTCATTAATGAAGTTTCGACTTTCGACTGGAATACAGATTACAGAAACTAAGAAAGCTATACACCAAAAAACAGGTTGTTCATCTTTAATCTTCGATTTTCCTGTTTTGTTTTCTCTCTCTCTCTCTCTCTCTCTGTAAATGTAAACGAAAATACAGGATGAACTCAACTAAATTAATAAACGACGCTGGTGACCCTCTCCCTCATCGTCCTGGAGTGCATCATCACCACATCCTTGGTTCTCTTACCAGTCGAACGAAGGAACCTGGACCAGAACCCACCTTTCTTCTTCCCGTCCGTAGCTTCTGCAATACGGTTTCGGGTAACAAAGGCCATAGACCTGCTCCTCACGAGCCCATCGTTACCACTTACAACGAAACATATCCGACCCTTCAGTTCCGAACCATTTCGTTGAGGAATTGGAGAGGAACAGGAAGAAGACCCAGAAGAATATGGTGAAGATGATAAAGAAGAAAAACAAGACGAAGCTGCGGTTGTGCTGCGTGGAGCAGTAGAGAAGAGCTGAGAGAGCCTCTCTGAAAGACAAGACGAGCATACTCCTGGTGATTGCCTGTGATTGGGGTGCTTCCTGCACCGAACCCCCGCCTCAGACCAACCCATTTGATGCTTCTGTTTTTTTTGATGATCTGCTGCTGCTTCCCTTTCTTCAGTGATCGATCGATCGTTTCCTTAAACTTTATCTGTCTTTTGATATTCTTTTGGTTGTTTGCAACTTTGCACTTTGCACTCGTATATATAATATATATTGAGAGAGAGAGAGACCGTCTTGGCTTTTAATGTGCTTCCACGAGAGTTCGTGAGTCGTGACTTCGTGAACGGGTGAGCTACCGCCTTCTGGGTTTCGGTTGTGCTGTGCGTATATACTAACTAATAAATACTAAATCGCCGTTTGGGGCCACTAGTTTGAAAAGTCGTCGTTTTCAGGGACCAGTCCGGATGCACGGAAGCTCCCGTGGGACCCAACTTTTTTTGATCATTTGACCCGTAAAGGGAGAGTTTGGAAAGCGATATGAGACGAAAGAGGTTTCGACTTTCGTGAGGTGGAGATGCACGTGGAAAGTATTTCATCTCGAGCCAATCAAAAGAAGTCTTTGCACGGGTGCTTACGTTGGGGCACGAAGAAGGCTAGGTTCGTGGCACATGGGTGTGTCTCAAAAGCAGATGACCACGATGTCTTGGATAGATGAAAGTGGACCGTTGATACCGAATTTCTAGATGCACTGATCTAATGATTCTCATCCCGTTTTCATGCCTTTGTCGGTCTGTATATCTCTGTTCTTCAAAACTCAATCAAAAGTAAAGTAAATCCAAGCGCTTCGTTTGTAATTTCTATGGCGATGGAGATGGGAGAAATCCTAGCCGTGGATCCTGGAGCGCCCATCAAGGGACGGTACCGGGCCTACCAGCGAAGAAAACCACAGTGATCATTAATGACGGTGGGTGGAAATCGGGAAGACGGTGAGTGTACTATCCACAAACGGATATGTGAGTCAGACAGAGTCGGACCACGGCAATTACACGTGGAAGGTCGCACGCCACGAAATTAAAAAGACACCGACCCTGAGAAGTGAGAACAGGTTGGGTTTACTTGACACGTGTTAAATTTATAAGGTATCCCTTGACGTACGTGTAGGGAGAGGATCCAGCTTTTTACCAAAAAAAATATGGTCACGAGCCGTGGCCCTGACAGCCCCCACCCCACCCTCCTGGATTGTACACGTAACCTCTTTCTTTACACGTGTACGTAAAATGAATAGGCAGGGAATTAAGTTGGGACGTCTAATTGGCGATACGGATACTACATACTAGGATAGGACAAGTAGATGCCGACTTCACCAGTTCACCCTAGGCCTACGTGGATGTGAGATTGGTGAAGGATGAAAATTTGGACCGCGTCGGAGCCAATCAAGCCGGCATTTTGGCAAAGGTCCACGTACAAATTACTGAATTGGTATGTGCGGGATGAAGTTTAAAAATTATAACTTTCTGAAAAACAATACTATTTTTATACCAAATTGCCCTTATAAAATAAAGAAGAGAACTTTCTTTCCTTTTCCTAATACCATCTTTGAAAAAAACGAGACAATTAAGAAAAAGAAAAATTTTGAGAGTTCAATGAAAGTGATGACGAAAAAAACGAATAAATTGTGCAGGAATAATTTTGTCTGAAAGAGGGTATTTTGGGGGGGGGTGTCTTTTTTTTCTTACAATATAAATAAAAATTGAGAATCTCAACATCTAACACAAGCTTGCAAAAAGCATGATTCTAACAAACAACATGAAAACAGAATCGTTTTGACGACCGATTTTTAGATTGACAGTTTAATTATCCTATTGGAATGGATGGTTTATTTTAATAAAATTTTAAAAAATAGTAATAAATAATCAAAACCATTAAATAGATTAATGACTAATTCAATAATTTTATCAAAAATCAAATTTAAAATAACATATAACTGATTGTTTGAATGATTCTCAGGCCGAGCAGTCTGACCGTCTGAATCAACGGTGATTCAAAAACCATAGAAAAAAATATGATAAACAATGAAGCCATGGAAATGGGCCTGACATGGAGTGACAACTTAGTCCTTGACTACATAAGAGACGGGGCCAGCATTCCCTACATATCCGGTGATAATAAAAAGGGGTGGTGGTCTCGCACATCGCCTATTTGTTTTTGTTTGTGGGTCAATTTCATGACTAGTTGAGTTAAAGCCATTAAACCAACCATTTGTACCATCTATAATATATTAATATATTATATAATATAGTATAGATTTTTATAATAAATTTATTGGTCCAGCAGGTCTTGACAAAGAGCTACAGCTTCCTTGCAACAAGAGATCGCCGCATAAACAAACAAGGAGTTTTCCTTGTATAGTTGTCATTGCCTAATATCTGATACTGAGAGCAAGAAATTAATAAGGTGTCGATGCCCGGCTCTGCTGGGCGTAGACCAAAAGTCCAAAAGCCAGTGTTAACACTTTACAGCTTATAGACTACAAGTTCCAGGCTGCATCTGAGGTCGGAAATTCATAAAGAGGCCAATAAACCATAATCAAACATATGGCGCATTGGATCTGGTTTGAAAAAATAAAATAAAATAAGAAAGGTGGTTGTTACTTGTTAGCCAGTCGACAAGCGGTAGTGGAAAAACAGACCGCATGTCCTCTGCAATCTACGAAATAAGATCCGTACCAAACGCCAGTACAACACCTCCGATCGAGGCCACAATGTACCTTTTGGCTTGACAGAAGCGCGTCGAAATTCGATTCAGCACCTTGTTTTGTTTTGTAAGAGGCAGCGGTGCATCAACTGCAGTAGTTCAGGTATCACCATCTTTACTCGATTAACACACAAATTACTCTACCTATGAAATAAGCAAGAGTAGGTAGCCCTTCTATTTTCTCGATTTCTTCTTATCATGGATTGGTTTGAGGAATTGATAGGGCTCTTGTTAAAATGCTCTCTACTGAGAATTATAAATTTCATGTCAATCCGCTGAGATGCTACACCCTGTACCTGTAGCCAGTAGGGACTTCTTTGGGTCCATAAGCAAGAAAACAGAAAACATGTTAGAGTTCAGGCTCTTAACTCCCCCTCCCCCCACCCAACCACCACCAACCTTTCTCATAAAAAATAAAATCACTGCTGTAACTAAGAAGGAATCGGTTTATTGGCTGTGCGATCTTCAAAGCAGTCCAGATCATGTAGGCACAAAGTGATAAGTTCAATAAATATTTAGAAATTTTTTTGACATCTATCTCTTAATTAGGGGTGGCTACGAGTCGAGTTTTTCATGAGCTGTTTAAGCTCAACTCGTGAAAAGCTTGGCTCAGCTCCATTTGAATTGAATTTTAAGCCGAATTCAAGTTTAGTATATAGGCTTATTTGCTAATCGAACCGAGTTTAAGCTTAGTATGAGGCTCGCACGCCTGATCGAGCCTTTATATATATAAGTTTACATGCATATATACATACGTATATATACACACATAAAAATATTATATATATATATATATATATATATATATATATATTATTTTTATATTTTTATAAAATATTTAATTCATAGTCGAGCTCGAGCCAAGCCGAGCTCAAACTTCTTAGCTTTTGATTCAATCCTAATAGTCTATAGCGAGCTGAGCTCGAATAGCCAAACATTCAGCTTGGATCGGCTTGAATCCACCCCTACCCTTACCCCAGCCAAAAAGATTAAAAACCACTTTTGACACTTGTCAAAATATTTATCAAGTGCTCATTGGGCATGCTTACTATATTGTGCCTATTAGATCCAGTCCCCTTAGAATACTCTTGGCCTCTTTCATTTTCTGGTAAGTCTTTATCCGTGTTCTTATGATCAAAAGTTCTCTAAATAAGTGCTCTTTTAATCATTTTTATCCATATTTGCTCATAATGTTTGCTAATTTTTCCCTTGGGTGGACAAGTTGCCCACCTGAGAGATGAATATAAAAATGATAATTAGGAAAAAGAAATTTACCATAGAACCCATAGTTTATCGAAAAGTAAACATTGTTATCTACCATTAACCAACTGTCCCCCTCCATTTACCAAAAGGCCTTGATGTTTCACTAATATCCATGCATTCTTTTGTTCTAGTTATATATTGTTATATATTATTGGTGGATGTCATCGAAGAGTAAATCTATTACACATACTTATATGGAGGTGCCCAACCCCTACCCTTGGCACTCCTTCTTATGCAGTCATGCTGGCCCATTTACATTTTACTAAACACGGAAAAGGTTTCATTTATTGGCTCTTTGTGGGCCTACATAACAGCTGATTTGGGCGGCTATTGGGCTTCTGTTCCTCGTTCCATGTTCCAAATTCTTGGTAAGAGAGGCTGACCCACTTTGGAGGCACCGTAGCATCTCGAGTTACCAGGCAGGTTAGACCTGTTTTTAGAAGATTGCAAAGGTCCAATCTGGACTAAATTCATTAAATTTGGATCGGCTTAGTCCAATTCTAACACAACTGTTAATTTAACAGTATATGGTATATCATCCTGAATCTCCACTTCCAAAAGAAACGAGAGCAGCATTGTAAATGCTGTATTAGGACATAAAATTAACTTCAGCTTGTGGGTACAAGGGTGGGACCACATTCCTCTTAGCCTTAGCATTTTCACCGGCCATTGCAACGTATCTGAAGGTGTTGATTGTATAGATCATAATCCTTTGTCCACAATAAGGTCCTGCACCAGACTCTCTTTGTAAGAGGGCATTTAGCGCAAGGAACGCCCTTCTACATTTTGGGTAGGAGTCTGCCATGGATTCCAGTTGCTTTGTGTAACCTTACACAAGCTAAGAGAGTCTAGGATTTGGTGAGAAACCCCCAGAAGAAAAACTGAAACCCTGGATTTTCACTGGTTACAGGACAAATGAAAAAGTATGCCAACATCCAGAACAGATTGATCTTGCCACAAGTAATTTCCCACCCTCTAAGTCTTTAACAAATGCAGCAAAACATTGAACCGAGGATCGCCACCCCCACTAGTTTGTAGTGGAACATTGCACATGGAGTCTTGGACATTGGTATTTTAATTGGTTCAAGGGACATCGGTATTATGATATTACTTGATTATGCAACACATTCCTCAACTACACAGCCCACAGAAAAATAAAAAAGAGTAAGAAAATAAAGTTAAAAAATGGTCCAGACGACCCTTGGATCGAGCTGCCTTGCTCCTGAAAATGCCAAATTGGCTCCAGTTTAGTTTTTTGAGAAAAAGGGTGTGATTCAAGTTTGCAGCCAAAAGAAAAGTTTGTAGAACTACGTGATTCAAAAATGAGTTGCAGCTAATACAAATACAAATACAAAAGAATATAAATGGGGCAAGTACATGATTCACTAGTTTCTTTGGGTTTTGTTTTCCAAATTACATTTAGGTTCTCCTTGTAATTTCTAAATAGAATTTGAAAATACTGGAGCAGTCACTGAAATAAAAGAGTGGGTCTTTCCTCCCTTCTTATTTAGCTGTATCAGCGGCCTCAGTAGTTTTAACTTCTCTGGGACACTGAGATACATATGGCTTCAGCTGCATAACATAGAACGGATAAGCTAGCACATGCAATTATAGATGCAATAACATAATTTAGGAAGCCATTATCAGCTCCAAATATCCAAATAAGTAGAAATTTAACTTTAACTTTAAAATAAGTGAAAACTATGATCTAAGTAAAGCTAAAACTAAGTTAAACTTCCAATATTTTCTTTTTCTATTCATCTTTTTCAGCAACAAAGAGATTTGTAAAAACAAGCAGATCAAAAAGAGAGAAGTAATTACAAGGCTCAAGATCCATTAGAAACATGACCCAATCTCAGACCTCAGAGAGGCAAAACCAATCCACCAAAAAATAAAAGCAAAGCAACAAATGGGAAAAAGCATTTGCTACCCTAAGAGTGAAATCCCCCAATACAATTCAGGTCTCCCAAAGCTACACAGACTACCAGATTTCTTGCCTCCCTAGAATGCCTCAACCTCCAAAGACCAGCAGAAAGATTTCTTATCCAATTAATAATAACCTCAGACTTCCTCTACCTGAATCATTTCAAATCCCAAAGATTACACAAGTCTAAACCCCAATAACTTGCAATTTTCTCATTTTACACTCAAGATAGTATACAGCCAAAAGCTCAAAGTTTCTCAGTATGGCTCATAATCTTTATCATAAACTGTTAGTGCTGTCCTTTTTTTTTATCAATAACAGGAAACTTTCATTAAATTATAAGAAGATTAAAATACAAAGGTGGGGGGAGGTAAACCCTCTTAACACCCTCCCCCCCAACAATAAGATTACATAGTAGCCCAAAACAAATGGCTTCTTCCCACCCCTTGTTTGGCCAAAGCATCTGCAAATGAATTAGCACATCTTTTAACGCACCGGACACGCACATCCATTCCTTGGGTTAGCCACTTGAAATGCCTTTTTTCATTAATGTAAGCCCATAACCTGTCATTTGCCTTCTCTATCCAACCAATTACCACTTGCGAATCACCTTCAATAATCAACTTATTTATATTCAACTCCTTAGCCCTTTTTACCCCTCCATTCCTTGGGTTAGCCACTTGAAATGCCTTTTTTCATTAATGTAAGCCCATAACCTGTCATTTGCCTTCTCTATCCAATCAATTACCACTTGCGAATCACCTTCAATAATCAACTTATTTATATTCAACTCCTTAGCCCTTTTTACCCCCCTCCAGGAAGGCCTGAATCTCTKCTCTCAAAGAGTCTCCAACTCCAATTAGTCCAGAAAAAAGAGCTATAACTGAACCTACCTCTGTTCTGAACACACCACCAACCCCTGATGGCCCTGGGTTTCCTTCACTGCTCCCATCAAAGTTGAGTTTGATAAAGCCTTCCATCAGAGGGATCCACGTCGGAAGGACATTCTACTGGGAGCTGAGACTGCTATCTCCTGCCAATTATTCATGATGGTCTCTATTGAAACATCCTCAAAGAGATTCATTGTTTTTACCAATTGTGCTACCCTCAACGAAATTACTTCTATAATTGTGTCCCTACTTCTTTCTTTTTCAGCAAATATCCTTTGGTTCCTTTCCTCCCAAATCGTCCAACAAACTACTGCCTTAGTACATCTCCACAAGATTTTTCCCCTCTTTTTGATCCGGCAACCAACTGTATAGGTGAAGAGGCTACGAATGCTTGATGGAGGAGTCCACCTGCAACCAAATAAAGAGAGAAACCACTCCCAAATAAAAGAAATAAAAGGGCAGGATATAAGTAAATGAGAACAAGACTCACCATCAGCTTTACAAAGGGTACACCAGTGCGGGGACAAGCACCAAAAAGGCTTCTTTTTTTGAAGAAGATCGCAGGTATTAATTCTTTCCAAAGCTATTTCCCAACAGAGTGCTCCAACCCTAGGTGGGACCGGTCTTCCCCACACTTCTTTAGAAGGAAAGGTGAGGCAAGAGCAACAGAAGAGTAGGCCAGGGCACTGAAAAAGGAGGCACAACTGAAAGAGACAGAAGAAGAGAGGGTCCAAATTCGGGAATCCACCTTAATCGAATCTAGAAAAAACCTTTTGGAGAACCTGAATCAAGGACCACACCAAATCCATCTCAGAATCTCTAAGGCCTCATCTGAAACCCAAATCCCAATTAATCTGAAGTCCTGGGCCAACAGAATACACTAAAAAAGAGGCAATTAAGTTTTTGTACCTAGAAAGGGAGAAAAGAGAAGGAAATTGATCTTTAAGAGGTGTCTCCCCCACCCACACTGTTAGTGCTGTCCTTTTCTAGTATATAATCTTTATAATCTTCTTGAACAGCCATAAGCCAAACATAATAATCTAATCCCTTCTCTACATTTTTAAATTAACTATTAGAATGCAATCTGGTTTTCTCATGCAATCACTTTTATCAATTCTTCTTTAGAATCTAGACAATCTAATTTTATGAAGATGTATAATGGCATACAGGTTCATATACAGCAAATGCAAAACATAGGGATTTATTTTAGAGAGATTCAATTCAAAAATCATTATCATCTAATTCTGATACTTTCAACTACTCCCCAGAAATGAAAAGAATGGCATTCAGAAAGCATGGTAGTTCAAATTATTCATGCAACTACTTATTCCTTTTGTGACACAGGCAGTTCAAGGTAAAATATTTTTTGTAAATGTTCACATTTTATTTATAATTAATAAAAGAATGGAGTAAAAAGATTTGTGTCAGGCACCCTTAATAGTCCATATCATGTTATATACAAAATTAAGGATTAAATTCCCTTGTAATCGCCCCCAGTACAGTCTGTTTCTGTTTGCCCCCTTTTTTGATGGTAAAAGAGATAATTCATTAAGGAGAAAAAAGAAATTCATTACAAACCCTTCTAACGTGCTAAGGTAACACCTTGAACAAAACACTCTCGACATCCAACAAGACAAAAAAAAAGAGAAAAAAGAAAATTTCTTTCACATCCAACTTAACAAAAGCTTTCCAACAAACTATCAACTCTAACTAAAAGGCAAAATATATCATACTCCAAATTTCCAGTATTGGTCCCCCCCCCCCACCTTCTTAACCTCTTTCAACACCACCGCCGCTACTCCTCTCCATCTAACATTTCCTCTTGCCCTTCAGCAACCTTGTCCCACGATCCTCTCCCTCCCCTTCTAGGCTTTTTTTTCCTTCTTTCTCCTTTCAAATTTTTTCAAAATCTCTCCTAACAATTGCCTCCCCCCCCCCACGCGCGTGCGCACAGGAACCATAATCGTAACTTCTTTCCAACCTCCACCTCCCTATCAACAAATTTTTTTGAGCTCCACATTTTCATTTCTCTCCCCCTTTCCTACCAATGAAACCTCATCAGCCTTCTTATCATCTCCATTTCCACCCTTCTTACCTTTCTCCTCTGCAGCTACAGAAATCTCCCGCTCCCCTACAGAACAATCCAACGACTGGTCCTCACATCTCCAGGGAACCTGAAGCTCAAAATCAACCCCATTAGAGACTGCTTGATTCAAATCCTTAAATTTCACACATTTTCTTGTATACTATTTTTTGTATTTGTTGGTAGGACCTGCTCCAACCAAACCTTCCTTTAACCTGGAAAAAAACTTTTCTTTTATACTATTTTTTTTGTTGGTAGGATCTGCTCCAACCAAACCTTCCTTTAACCTGGTAACATGCATAATATTTGTCTTGCTCGGGTTTCTGCTTGCCCCATGCTTAGCTAAGGAATCCACCATGCTATTAGCTGATCTTTGTCTACAGAGAAACTAAACTGTCGATCTTTGTATACAAAGAAACTGAATTCTGAATTCTCTAGCTAGCTGCCTTACACTTACTTCTCTCACTATGTATCTGTACTGCCACATTCCAGGGTTATTATGTCCAAACCAGCTTATCTCCTTCCAGTATGAGGTTTCCATGGTTTAATGATTTCCTCAACTTCAGTTCCTGATGTAGTGCTAATAAGTAATAACTCAACATTTATTGAGTCTTTTATCTTCAGGGACATCTGATAAGACATTTACCAAGTCTCCTTGGCCTAAAGTCCTATAGTATAATGCCATAACCACACCATCACAGTCCCTGAAGACACCACCAATACCTGGACCTTCCTAGGTGTAGAGAACATTGATGTGGGCCCCACAGCTGTGGTACCACTCTGTCCATAGGGTAGAATGTATCTAGTCACAGCTGTGGTTATTTTGTTGTTC